GATGTAGTTCAGAATAATGATGAAAAATCCACGACCAAATCATCCAGCTCAGAGAACAAAAATCCACCAAATCATCCACCTGAGCTACAAATTTTCTGCACCACCTCATTTGGTTTAACCACATAACACCAGATATTTAATAAGTCATTCAAATGTAGATCAATACTCTTCCGGCCTCACCTCCAAGTGTACATACGAATTTTCATATACCTGAGGTAGCAAGTATATAAGACATATGAAAAGGCTCCCACCACGTCTTCTGAACACGTCTCAGTAAGCTTATGTCTGAAAGGCAGTAAAGCTTTCACAAGAACAATCATTAAGCACCTGTTGGACAATGGACATAGAGTTAGTACCAGTTATTACCAATAATTAAAAAAACAACCAACATCGAGTTTTTCAAAGAGAAATCGTTATCAAGCACTCCTCACTTGGCTTATATGTACGTAATGATAGCTTGATAGACCTTTCTCTGATATCATAATTATGATTGTAATCAAATAACCCTTTTTAACTTTATTTTGTAGTCTAACCCCATTTTTATCTCTTATGTCATCTTATTGATGCCTGAACTATGAGACCTTGTTTTTCTTAAAGTTGATAAATAAAAACCATAATATTACTTCTCTATTTTTACAATTATCACTATATTCAACATGTTAATACGTATCAGTCTGAATTATTTTTAACTACATATTCTGTACACCGTTCTTTTTCTTATTGTATTTATCGTTCTGTTTAGAAAGCATCCATCTAAACTTCACTGTAAATGTTTGAAAGTCATAACTTCTTGGTTTTAGTATTCTTATATTCATACCAAGATAGCTTCCCTATCGGGCAATCCATATAATATATATCACCTATGTACTGTCTTTTCCCTATCTGTGATTTCAGCCTTTGTATAAAAGTTAGTAACGGGAAAATGTGAATCCTTATAAATATAAACCATATTGTCTAACAATATGTAGTTTACAATGAATTTACAACTATTTTATCACTTAATCATAGAAATTAACTACAAATATTCAGATTACTTTTTACCAACAACCGAAAGACTTGTGGTTGTACTTTTTTACTGCATACTTACAAAAACATGCTTTGCTAAAATTTCGAACTGATTAGCGTTAGATAATAATTGAAAACCTAGTAACAATGGACGGTCGTTTCGTCCTTGTATCATAGTCCTCAGGAGTATATATCTACGACCCAGAACTTTGGTCTCGGGTGCGGACGCTTTATCGTCAAACCACTGAACAGAAACTAAATTATACGGAACTTTAACTTCAATCAATCCATGACGTTACGTGGGGCTATGGATACACGCTATTAACGAGTCTCATGGTAAGATGAAACGGTCACCCAACGCTTCCAGGTTTTCAGTGGTTGTCAACAATCTCCAAAAACCCATAATGACATTTTTTGCATCAAATATCATCAGCGAGAAAATACTTTAGTGGTAAATGATTTCTTAAAATAAATTTTGTTATAAGTAGTTGAGAATGATGCCAACATTATTAGGTTAAACAAATACATGCTAGCTGATTGTAATCGGTCAAACATTTTCACTAGATCACATCACAATCTAATATCAAACACTTCTCCTGTTCTCAGTATCCAGTTTACAAATCTCCAGTTAGAAATCCTCTAACGCTTTATATGATTGCGTAACGTTTCCGTTCAATTATCATCACCCTCCTTCTTATTCATCTTTGAGCTACCAGTATTTTCAGATTCAGTGGAACACCAACTTGATTAGGTAACATTTCTGTAAAATATTGGAACATATTTTGTTAGATACAAATAAATTAGCCTACTTAAATAAATTGCTATGGAATATTGATAATAATTTATGAAATACCCCCTTTTTCATATTATAATTATAAAGTGTGAATATAGACAACATTACTGATTCATATTAAAGTTGAATTATGAAGTTAGTTGAATATTTTCATTAGAACAAGTATATGAATATAGTATATACCATACTTATTATATTTCATGCAACAGTACCGAAAATGTTTCATATGTGAATTTGTTTGTGTATTGTAACTAAATTTATGCACTAAATATGCACACATGGTGATTATTAATTTCATTGAATAAATGTACTGATCTACTGCTAATTAACCATGGTATTATCATTCATTTGTGTTTAAGTTTATTTTTAATTACAAGTAATCACTATGAGGTTTGTTAAGTTTGTGATGAATAAAAACAATTCGATTCAAGAGATAACTCCTGTAATTACAGTGAGAATTCGTTACAAGTGGAGTTCAATTATGTCGAATATGAGAAAGTTGCCCAGTTGCAAAGTGATCAAATAACTGATTGAAATTTAACGCATCAAACATTAGAAACTGAGTCCGTTTTCTAAAAATTAAGCTCTCACTGCGAAACATGAAGTTTATGAGTTTGACTGCCTGTTGATGTCGTACATCAACACAGTTAAATAATTCCATACTAAAATGAAGTAGTTGTTCAATAGTCTCTGATTTTCATTAGTTATCAAACTAAAGTCAACCTGCGATGTGAACTGAAAACAGAAGAGATATTCTGAAATTAATTTCAGATGTGCATGTAGATATTAGAACTCCGCCTGTAGCTCTTCTAGAGTTACTGCTGGTCCCAAGCTTGGGTAAAAGAGGAGGGTTGAGCATGAGGTTAGCGACCTCATCCCGTAGAGAACTAACTCGCTAAAGAAACGCCAACCAGAAAAAAATAATTCAAACCATTTGAACTCTATTCTGGGAGTTAAAAGGTCTTCATTTAGGAGAACTATGACGCCTCATGGTGAAGTAAGTAAGTAATATCTACTAAAGTAGATGATTCATTTATTACATTTTCATTAATACCTTTCTCTAAATAACATTGGAGATTACAGCACGATAAAAGAACTGAGCTGTTCGAACAAATTATTCATGTCTAGTCTTTTATTGGCATATATGCATCCTATATAGATTACTTCGATATTGTCATTCAGTCACAAGCATTATACCCAAAGATGGATGGTAACTAGCAGTTGAAATAATCAGCTTGATTTTATGTTGCCATAAAAACTTGTTTAAGTAGATGATGAAGAGATTTATTTACAAAATGATGGATTTTTAGATAATTTTGTGTATATTTTTGTTACTAGTTAGATTTAAGAATGAAATCAGTTAAAACACAAAGATGATAAAGTAACGTAAAGCATCATTTAAACTAAATCTAATAACAGTACTAAGGTCTAGTGGTAAGTCGACTTCAAGTAAACCACGACTTTATTTGACATCTATTTTTATGATAGATGATATTTGGCCATAAAAATGTATGATGCCCTTTTGTTAATCTAATGATAATCAACTCACATTTTTTTATCATGTATACAATTCACTTAGTTCATTCTGATATAATTTAAGTCTTCAGGCTTACTTTAATCTCAACGTGAGTTATTCACCAAAGTGTAAAATACACTACTTAGCCTTTTTTATAGTAGTTATATCATCTTTAGCATTTATAATTTTATATTTTTTTCTAGTCAGTTCAGTTCTTTAGTTGGTTTAATACTTAAATTCGACTTTCATAAAATTATATACCTAATTTCAAAGAATAGATGGATCATGGTAGAATTTGGGGAAGTTGTTAGTCCTATTTTGAACTCGTCAGCTGAATGTGTTTTGATTGTAGCATTAATTCTTTTTACACTGAAATTAGAATAGAGTACCATTTGCGTCAACTTCACGAAGTCAGTAGATTCAGGTAGCCATCGAACTTATTCAATATTTGCATCGTACGCTTCTTTGGTGACCTACTTGAATACCTGGGCTACCTGTTCCTGGCACCTAGATATTTCAATAAATCATCTATATTTTGTTTGTTTTAATACGTCATTATGTCTATTGATCGCATAACTTATTCAGTTGAGTTTATGAAAAGTTTACGACATTTTGCTGTATAAGTTACAAAAAAGTACAATCAGAGATATCGTGGTGGCTGGCAGGTAATGTGCATTGAAAAGAATAAGCATAATTCAGACATCGATCCTGGAACTGCTAACATCTAACTGGTGACCACTCACTATTTATCGTCAGGCACTCCGCACAAAACGCACATATGTTAACAAAGACCAATTAAAATTCAATCCTAAATATCAACAATGAGATAATCCAATCTCTTGTTAATAAAGACTTAATTTTCGATGAAAAGAATGAATAACTTTATGAATAACTCTTACTATAACAGGTTTATGTCACATAACACAAAATTCAATTCTACATTCAATCAATGAGCCACGCTACTTCGACTAATGTACAAAGATAGTTTTAACCTGATTCGATAGAGTAATGCTATAAGAATTTGATGAATTTCACTAAAATGAAACAGAATTCCGATTATTGAATGTAATCAGAATTCACTGTATAAAAAGTCACTGACGAATATGATAATGTATGACAAGATAATGAAAGTATATCATTGAAAACTTGGAAGCACTGAGCGTTCGTTTCGTTCTAGTTTGAAATTACCCAACAGTGTGCATCCACGATCCCACATGTAGGAGTCGGAACTCGGACATTCGGTCTTGCGTGCGAACGCTTAACTTCGAAGCCACTGAGCTGGCATCCAACGGTGTTAGTGTCTAACTTCAATCGATCCATGGTCTTGAGTAACCTCTCAGCCATTGTATGAGGTGGATAACGGTCTCACACCCCACACGTATTGGACTCTACTGGTCACAGATTCTCATTAGAACTCCAGGAAATCCTTCTTGAAGCTAATCACTAGTGAGTACATGAATAATATCAGTATGGGGATCTGTGCGGTTTTAGTATTTTCACGGTTGAATTCACAAGTCGATTCAAGCTAGACTATCATTGAAAACCTGAAAGTATTGAACCGCCGTCATGTCCTAGTATAGGACACTTCAGCATCACGCATCCATGATTTCGAAACGGCAATAATCTAGCTCAAATCGACTAGTGGATTCAATTCAATTCAAAAACAACCCTAATCAAAAGATTAAATCATAACTCAATCATAATTTACTGAGATTAATGAAGAGAAAAATTACAAAAATGGAAAAATCAAGAATAAACAAGCAAACAGTGAAATGAAAAATACTCTCTGTCTTGTCATGAATACTATAGAAATGATATAATAATAATAATAATAATGGTAATAATACTTGAGTATGTTTGTACCCAATGTTAAGTATAATCAATTATCAGTGTGATCCTAATACTTCCCATTATTACTAACATCATTGTTAACAATCGTGCAAAATAATTCAAATAGAAACACTTTTTTTGAAGAATAAACTAAAGGAAATAAGTAAAAGAAGATCATTGAATTGTTCACGAACAAATTCAGTAAGGAAGATAAATCTCAATGAATCCATCGTTTTATTTCGATCATAACATCATTATCATGATCATTAGCACATTGTTAATTTAATGAAAATAAATACTGAATAGAAATATCTGTAATTGTTATATGTATATTTAAACAAAAGGTAATGAACGATCCATTTGTAATCGTAATTGTCCAGTTGGAAGACTATAACATTCAAATGAAAAGAAATGAGTTGATAAATTATGTTTATGGTCATATATATATAACGAGTTAATGAATATTTATTGATTATAATGATTAGGAAATGTATTACATATATCTAACCACCGCCTACTTGAATAAGTCCAGATGACTGGTGAAGGGGTAGGTTGAACGAAAACTAAGAACGGCCAAACCGAAACGTGGTATCACTCTTTGAAATCATTAACAGTTGGAGTAATCCATATAGGTAAGTTCAAACTATCTAGTTTTAAAGTTCACCATTATCATAATCATTGGATGGATTGTTGAGCGACATATTGGATAATTTGTAAAAATGGGGGACAGGTGCATTCACTCTTTGTATTCCATTAAGTTTGAAGTTTCTAAATTACCTTTAAAAAATAATTTTATTCGATAGATTCATGTTTTTCTCCTCGAATCATATATCTTATGCTTAATGTATCCTTCTACCACTAGCATGAATATTACTTATGTTACATCTCTCTGTGTTAATATATTGTCTTAACTTCAACCTATGAACGAGCATATCAAGTTCTACTTAGTTTTATAGCTTCTTATCTTTCATGACCGAATCCACAGTTAGTGTCTTTATAGAATGATACCGCGTTAATGTTATTGTGAATCATAATGTTTATCATTCTAAGTTTACTGTTATCAGATTTCTATACTGATTTAACATAATATAATGCATAGAACTTGCAACTCTCCAAGTATTAAACTTAAACTAAACATTATTGATTCACTCATTTTTACCACCATATGAGCTATAAGTCCAGGTTATCTAATAATTAAAGATTTCTGAATTACGCATTAATATATTCAATGATAAAATGATCAGCTGACACTTCATAAACAAAAACTGTCTTTAACTGTTTAATAATAAATGTAATACACTATACTATTTAGATCCACTAAATTAATCATTGTTTTATACAAGTGTAATAGAAAAGCTTTGAAGTTGCTAAATGATACATACTATTTTGTAATAATAACAAGACAATCTGCTCAGAATGCACATAAACCAAAAGAGACTAATCATTTGTAATCAAAAGATTCCAATCACTAAAAAAAATGAATAATGATTCATCCCCTTTGCACAAAACTATGGTAACCTGGACTCAGTAACTAAATGGATAATGCATCCAGCATTTGAAACAAAAACACCAGTTTTAAGTCCCACTAGAAGCATCAACATTTAAATGTAGGTACATTCAATTGAAAATTGTAAATTAGGATGAAAAAATGAGTCCTGGGTTTTATTATTAGTGTGTTATGGATGCAGAATAATATACCAATCATTATCATGTTAAGTCGAATGATGTCCTTGGACGTTAAATGTACATTTCCTTTTGGGCATTATTTATTTCATTCGTTAAATATTGTACAAATGTTGTTTTCTATTTTTATGGTACGATGTGGTCTGTTTGGTTAGTATATAAATAGAGTATGTCTGAAATATAATGATTTATAATTCAGAGGCTATGACTTGCATTCTAGACTCAACTGGCTAGGCTAGACTGAGGGGCGCCACCAATCGGGACTCTAGGTCGTCCTTACGTGTTTTACGTGTCCACTGTAATCGATCGATATAAACGCTGCTTATCAAAACCTGCAGTCCACACGATACAACAATTAGGTACTATTCAGCTTTACCTAAAAATATTAGCAGTTTAATTGTTTTTGTATTTGTTATTTGAATCTTTCCATTAATGTTTAGGACTACATTTGATCAGTCTCTAATACAAACAACCGATGCAAAAACAAATTGCACAACTTAGTGGCTATCTGATCTTAGTAGCTATGTGGGTAACGCAATGGCATTTGAAGTGAATAATATTGATTCTCAGTCCCATAGTGAACATCAACTCTAGGATGTAGGTACGTTCAGCTGACAACTCTCAAGTAGAACAAAATGCGCGTTCTAGATTCCACAGCTAGCCAACATTCATCTTTGGTTATAATTAGTAGTTTGAGCTTTTAAAATCTTAAGATAAAACAACAAATTATGAATATCACTGATTGAAATCATGAGTCCATTGAAGCTAGACCATCATGGGAAACCTGGAATCACTGGACAGCCGTTTCATCCTAACACGGGATTCCTCAGCAATGCGCATCCACGATCCCGCACCTCGCGAGATTCGAACCTAGGACTCATCAGTCTCGCGCCAGGTGCTTAACCAACTAGACCACTGAGCCGGCATCCAATGGTGTTAATGTCTAACTTCAACCAATCCATGAAGTCGCGCCACCGTACATCATTGTCTTCAGTGAGTTGATATCTCACAACAGACCTAGTTTATTAATCATTAAATTGATTCATTTCTAATGTTTTAGACTACAAATTTTTCTTGGAAAAAAAAACATTAGACAACAACAACAACAACGACACGAACATTCACAACAAATACAATTTCATGTCTAACAAATCATTTAATTTAATCCATCTTTCATAATCAGATATGTTTTAAATAATAAGATTAACGAGAGAGGGAGGGGGAGAGAGAGTAAGAGAAAAAGAGAGAAAGAGTAGGAACAGAGTATACCCGATACTTGTATAATTGTGTTTTGCTATCATTAAATGGTCTAGTCTTTATATGTTATAATCCTTTTAAATAAGATATTTCTATGATCATTGTTAATTTATCACTTACTATTCTATTGAACAAAATATTTTAATTCTATACAAAAATAATAAATAATATAACTGATATCTAAAATAAGAATCATGTTATCACTAAGACTTTTAAAGAGTAAAAAAAATTATACGATAAATTATAGAGGAGGCTGATATTTGTTTTCTGGTCTCAATGGACTACGTGAAGTGAGAAGCTACTAAACAAAGGACCAATAAAGATTTAGAGTTGACTCGAGATTGTCAGTGCTGTTTGATGCATTATTGATTTAACACAAAACAAGGTCATAAATGTCGATATTCTAACTGGTGATTTCTTCACTTGATATTTGATGGGCTACAAAATGTCGATGTTTATCATATTAATTAAGCTCGATTCACAATGTCGCGAATTTCATATCAGATGAAACACTAATTATGAATTCTATTAACCGTAATTCAACTGTACATAAGTACTCATGTCTGAATGATAATATATAAGCAATGCCCTCAAGATACCCATGTGTCAATAGTGACTGATTAATTAAGATCTATAACGTTAACAAGTGGAAAAATGTAAATGCTTACAAGTAAAAAAATTAGTATGCTTCATTATTTGGTAATATGTAACATAAGGAAAAGAATGAATTACAGACAGGATATCAATAGAAACTTTTATTCAAATAATAATTTCCAGAACTGTAGCCAAAAAGCATTACACTCCTCATCATTTTTCCAGTCATACCATCGAAATTGATAACATAATTCAACAGCTATGTACAGATTCATGTACTTGCCTTTAGACAGAACGCTCTCTGTAATAGAGCACATTTAATAGTAGGCTCAGACTAGAAGTTAAACGACAGTGCTATGCCCACACCTGCCAGTTCACGAGAACTGGCCGTCGGGTCACCAGATACACGGAGGGTGTATCTCGTCGGCTCTCCGTTTTGCCGAGGTGAGGTCAACTGAATGACCATACTACGATCCTGTATGCGTGTTTCGGAGACACAACATACATCAATGGTACGAGATTCTAGGGTTTTAGCCAAGGAAGCCTGCTGACCGATTTGACATGGGGTATGTACGTTGAAGGCTCCAATGTGTAGTTTGGAGCGAAGTTTCAGTAGACCTGGGACAGTATTTTGCGCACCTGAATCGTTGGCTATGGTGACACTTGAGGAGGAAGCCGAAAGAGGAAGTTAGGAGTTGAAAGTCGATGTAGGAGGAATAATAGGAATTGAAGAGGGAGGTTGATTATGAATACAGTGGTCTTGAGTGCTGTTAGAGGTATGAGTGCGGTTATCACTTCCCAGTTGCCCACACCGTGGAAGGGTTCTTCTGAAGGTACCTGAGAAGGAAATTGGATTAGAGGTGGTCTTAGTGACCTGAGAGCGTGACCACAGTGCCCAAGGGACAAATGCCTGAGGTCGGTCACACACGACCTTTTTATGAGTAATTTTTGTGTTAGCTCCGTACTTGTTGAGACCTTACCGCCGGAGACGGATATCCGTGGGATAAGGCGAGGTGTGCACTTTTAGCGTCGACTTTTCTAACCCCACCCTCTTTGGGGAGGCAGCATCGCTTTGATGCTGGTTGTCTGAAGGAAACACCTTACTGCTGTCACGCCTCTGTAGTCAGCAGTACGACTTCGCCTTCGGACCTTGGGTTTGTTGCTTTTAGTCTTAAAGCTCTTCAACCGACCTGTCTGACATGGTAGGACCTTGAGGAATGGTTGTTCCAGCCAGTATGTCTCGGTTGCTTCATCACGATAGGTAAGCCCGACCATCACGTCAACGTAGCAACAACGGTCGGGAAGACCAGAAGTTATAATCGAATGAATAAAACCTAAGTGTTTTTTACGATCCACCATACATAATTCTTTAACAAGGTAAACTCTTAGGAATCAAATTTAACCATTAGTAGATCAGTCGGTTATTTTTGATGAAAATAATTCAAGTAGAAAGTTTGTACGAGATTTGGAGATTATTTTTTTGTTTATCGTTAACTAACATTAACTTCAATACTCAATACTGTGAAACTATTCGATCAAATTTAGACAAAAGTTCTTGTAAAGTACAAATTACAGTTTAGAAAAAAATGTAACAGGATGTAAGAGGATGATTGAACAAACAAATATATCATTCACTGAATCAATCAAATGAGCATGGGATATAATAATTAAATAGCAATATATAAATAATGTCTGAATGAATAAAAAATTAAATAGCCAACTTTTCTAAACATCATTGTGTATTAATTCTGTAAAGAAGTCATTTACATTGAATTCCGAAGTGTTAGAAGTACTGCCCTCTATTCATTTCAATATTAAAAAGTATATTACTATAGACAATGCACCTAGTGATAAATTTGTTTGAAATTATCAAGTTAAACTTAGATGAAAATACTGCAAAACAGGACGAAACGTATTATATACAACATACTGAAATGTATTATTGTAAAGCACCAGATGTGAAGTGTTTTTAGACAAATTGGTTATGTTTTTCTTAAGAAAAAGGGAAAGGCACAATAATGAATAATAAAATTGTATTGTGGCTAGTAGTAGAATCTAGCTTGAGAGTTTCGCCCTATTTGCGGCTCGTCAGCTGAATGCACATACCTTATCTGGGTGTTGATGTTTAGACTGAATTTCAAACGTAGTTTTTCTTTAACTTTAAATATATATATATAGCAAGTAATTAAGCAAGTAAATGTTTTAAAGGAAAAACTTACCTTCTAGTTAATTTATCATAAAATGTCTTTGGTATAATCGTAACTTTCATTGGAGTTTTTGATTCCTCCATAAGTTGTAATAAATCTTTATCCTTTAAACCAACAACATTTTGTCCATTAATTTCAATAATTTGATGATTAGTTAATAAACCATTACGTGCAGCACTTGAGTCTTTAACAATTGCTTTAATTAAACCATTGCGAACATGTACACCAATTGCACCTAAACTATCTTTATGCACAGTAATAACACGTTCGAATGGACTAGGGTAAGCAAAAGATTAATGAATGGAAAGAATTAGAATATTTATAAGTGTGAACAGTAACAGTTAGTAAGTTATTCATACAAAATATAGAGCCATGCATGTATTTGCATCGGTTTATATCAGTAATATCGGGATGGTAAATTAATATAAGTATAATAGCAATATTAAGGGTAATGGAAAACATCAAGCGTGGAATGCATGATGAGAGAAGAAAAAAGGAATTTGTCAAATAATGAGAGTATAAAATGATTTCCATAGTTGGGACCTAAGGGAAGGCAAAGAATGAATATATCCGTACCAGTGTGATCGATCCTGCGCTATATTACCCAACGTTTCCAACCACTGGTGATGATAATTGCTCGAACCTCTACTACATAGTCTGAACCTACTTACATGGCTCGAATCAATAGCAAACGATTTCATAGACTGATGCCACATTTTGATTAGACCGTTTCTAGTTTCCTTTCAACCTAAACCTTCATCAGCACTATGTTTCTAAATAACTAGTGGTTGGGCAAACACAAAGCACTTTCTAACCATCTTAATTAATGAAAATTCATTTCCTCTCCCAACTATTTTCCATCCTCATCTAGCGTTCAAAATCTGTGAAGAAATTTTGTCAAATGCCAATTCATTGGAACTGATGGAACTTACAAGTTCTATGAAGTGGTAGACAGGCTTAACTAGAGGACATGCATATAACAGTTCTTTCTTTTCAGAAATCCTTCTGTAGAAATATCGTGTCAATAATTTCAATAAAATATGAATCTTTATTTTTTGGGTACATATTAGATAATTGTTTTACGGTCACTATCCAAACCGAATAAATAGATACGATTTCCTCAAACACGAAATACAAACAGGAGCAATGAATAAAAACAAAAGTGATATCAACACAGAGAAACAGTTCGATAAACAAGTTAGACATTAACACTATTGTATGCCGGCTCAGTGGTCTAGGGGTTAAGCATTCGCACGTGAGACTGAAGATCCTGAGTTCGATTCCCGTATACAGGATCGTGAACTAACACTTCTGGGGTTTCCCATACTGGGAAGAATCGGCCGTTCAGTACTTTCAGGTTTTCAGTGGTGGTCTAACTTAGATAGACTCGTGATTTCAGGTATGAAACTACTACAATCTCTACAAGTAGCCTATACTAATACATTAAACAAATACAACTCTGATTCATTTTTTATAGGTTTGCAACTTGGTAAGTAATATTTTACACAATTTAAACAATATTACATTTACTTTGATTGTTCAAAATTTGAATACAAATAAGTACACCAGATAATTAATAAATTTTAAATAATTATGTAATAACTAATCACCGGTTTATACGTTAGTTGATTTTGATCTATTTATTTGATCGGCGTAAAAATCAATGCTTAACAATTCCACTGATTCATTTTCAATTCCTAGTGTATATTATTATTACTAATATCAGTATAGGAGCTTTTGGAGATTATTTAATATTATTAAGATCACAAACCAACCAAAGTTGAACCTACATTAAAAACCTGAAAGCATTAGATGGCTGCTTCGTTTTAGTACAAGGCTTCTCAGTAGCTGACATCACTGAGGATCCAATACCGAAACTTAGATCTCGTGTAAAAACCCTAATATCTAGATCCTTGAGTTGGTATTCAATGGTGTATGTTCAACTTCATTATCACATTATCATATTCCTTGAATCCTCAATGGGAAGAGAGTATTATGTTTGATAAAAAATTGTCTTATTTTTGACATTTTAGTTGTCTTTTGAAATTATAAATTGTTTAACACCAGAAGCTATATACTGACATAGATCATGTATAATAAGATAGATTTTGAGATTATTTTCATGTTTTATAGCAATTAGTTGTAAACAAACTTAAATTCTATAGAAATAGAAAAATCGATTTAATACATTATTCGATTATGGATAGTTGCTAACAGTGGAATCCAGGACGCGCGTTTAGTCCTATTTGGGACTCGTCAGTTGGATGTACCTGGATCTCAGAGTTGATTTTTACTCCGGGACTCGAACCCAGTACCGTTCACTTCAAACGCTATCGCGTTATCCACTTAGCTACTGCTTGTAAATTAAGACAATACCGAAGCAATACGCACAGTATGCACATGTGCCAATAAGAGATTGATCAATTGCAGTCCTAAACATCAGTGGGAAGATTCAAGTAAAAACAATACCAAGTGAATTATTAATCGATTAGTTTCAGAACCAAAGTTAACAGGTAGAATAATACAAATGAAAATTTGGCATATTTTTTGTGCTACAATGTAATTTGTCAAGATTTATGTAATTACACAATTAAGTAGAATTAACTATAAATATTGAAGAGAAAAAATGGAATAAGAAGTGAAAATTAACACAAAATCAAAATAAATAGTTGAGACTTATAAAATGGTGTGGTATTTTCATATTTAAAAACAAAAGTAGAACATAGAAAACATGATTATATAGTAACTAAATGACAAGTGAAATTTACAAATACTCATTGCATCTGCATCAGTTGACGACATCAATTATCTGTTGCATTATACACTAAATATTTCGCTATTGGTCTGTTCATTTATATTAATAATGAATCAGCTCATTCATTAAGTTCCTGAGTGTGGTCTATAACTACACTTTAACTGTGGTAAGGGCAGATAGTAATACATTATTGCCCAAAAATGAAGAAGGTGGAGTGTGACTGATTAGAAATTGGATATAAACAACAATTGAGCAATAATAAAGTGAATATTACAACTCATCAACAAAACAGAACAGAAATTATGAAAACAAAATCAAGAAAATAAAGTTGTTGAATCCATTCATTCATAACTCACTCGAATATTGACTATTATGATAATTAAGATAAAAAGAATGTACATATTTCATATGAATACAGAAGTCACGTTTACGTAGCAAAGCACTACCAGATGTATATATTTTATATTTACATATTATTGTAGAGTTTTCAAGGAAAATTCGTTCGAAACAATTAATTCTTTGCTCTGTTTCACTTTTTAATCTACATTAGCCTTTGATGAATTAAAAGTTGTGTTATTCGACAAAATAATCCATAACAATCTTCATAGTGATATGTATTTCAATTATATTTTAACTTGTAATCAAATGGGATTTTTAAAATATCTTGTAATTATCCCATGAAAATTATACTATATTGAGAAGTAAATTGTATCTACCATAAAACTGATTCATATTGGGCAAAACAAGAGTAAATGTGTGTACACAACGACATATATCTACTAATTAATGCAATAAATAGAAAACAAATATATATTGATATTATGCATACATACTACTTACCGGTCACGTAATACAAGTTTTATGTTGTTAGGAGTTGAACTTTTCAATATTTCCATTGATCTTGTCCCTGAACAACCTGTAACTAGAATATCATTAATTTCCAGGACTTGATCTCCAAAACGCACACCGCCAAGTGCAGCTGGTGAAAATCCTTCCACAAATGAAACAAATATACCCTATTGAAATGAAAAAAAGAACTGAAAGCATAAAAGCCTGGTATATGTTTTTTGCGCACCATGAAACGAGGCATATAGCTAATCACAACTTGGACATTTTAGCAACAGTTCAAACGCTTTACGGGTATTAAGTATAACCACAACAATAAGTGACAGATTTACACTAAAACTGAAGCTCGGGCATTTTTAAGTTAAGATACTTGTTACATTTAATAAACATAACACGGAAAACCCAGCGTTTAAGAATTTCGGCAAAATGACTCTGATTCAGTAGAGCCGTTTTTACAAGCCTTGGATATGCTTTAAAACACCAAATAACATATGCATTATGCCATACTATTATACTTATACATCTATATGATTACAAAACAATAAATTACTCAAATCAGTGTGAATTTTGGAAGCGATAACCAGGATTTACTACATGTTTGTTGAAGGTGAGGCTGAAGGGGAATTGTGCTGGACATTTAAAGTCTTATGCCTCCAAGTACCTTCAAATGAAGCCACAGAACAATGTAGTTCACCTCACAAGGCAGTTTAATCTAAGATCATCTGGTCTGAGCAGACAGTAAACTAAGCACCACTTAGTAATTTGAAAATCTATTGCACTCAAACTAAAGTGTTAGAAGCAGATAAAATTTAATTATCTCGAACAGTAAAAACACACCCACCCGAACCATAAATTCAAGACGTCAACCTGATCCTTTTATTCCTTGGGAAGCTTTAGGTGCACCAAGTCAATAATCATCTTTGCTATTGGACATATTTGGTTTTAGTTTGATACATTCATTAATGTACTTTCTCTCCTCATTATTGACATTTCAGAATGTGAGTTTACTATATTTGATTACTTTTTTCCATATATTTGATCAGTTTACTCATTAGTCACTTCATTTTCACAGCTTAGTTCATACTGACTCATGCACTTAAATATCTTTTACCTAATACTTGATGTGACTACTAATAACAATACCATTATTTTTATAGGGTACTTGTATCTTTACTTTCTTCTATTAACAGCCTCATAACCTTTTCCTTACTTGACATGCAGTCCAGTTGAAGTTATCACTATATACAAGATATCCCGGTACCTGGAATGGCTACGAAAGGTACATCCATCACGATTTTCAGCTAATAATCTGTGAACAAAACATATCTATGCAAGCCTGGTTACTCTAATCACTGTTGATTTGGGTTCAAAAATACATTGATCTACCTAATTCATTGTAACCGGAAATTTAATCATGAAAAAATATTTTCCAATTTTACGAAATATCGTATCAGACCAGTAATTCATTATGCTGCAGCTGCGTTACAGCATAAAAATTTGAAGACGGTAGAAATAAAAGCAATTTCTTTCAAAATACATACTAATTGTACCACAGTTCAAATAAATTGAGTTAACCTGAATAATCTAATGAAGTAAATACTCTTCGTTATATGAAATTTTAGTAAGGTATTTCTGAGAACGTATAGTCTATAACATTAAATCCCGATCGAAGCTGCTACCTTGACGCGGTGGTCGGGCTTGCCTATCGTGATGACCCAACCGAGCTATATTGGCTGGAACATATGTTCCTGCAGGTTCTACCATGCCAGGCAGGTCGATTGGTGAACGGTAAGACTAAAAGCAGCAACTCAAGGTCTGAGGGCGAAGTCGTACTGCTGACTGTAGAGAGGTGTGACAGCAGTAAGGTGTTTCCCTCGGACAACCAGCATGACAGCGATGCTGCCTTCCCACAAGGAGGGGTGGGGTTAGAAAAGGTCGACCCTAAAAATGTCACACCTCACCTTACCTCACGGATTTCCGTCTCCGGCGGTAAGGCCCTTTGAAGAACGGAGCTAACACGTCAAAAACCTTCCACAAAAAGGCCGTGCGCGACCGGCCTCAAGCAGTTGTCCCTTGGGCTCTGCGGTCACGCTCCCAGGTCGTCAAGACCAACACTAATCCAATTTCCTTTTCAGGTTCCTCAAGAAATACCCTTCCACGGTGTGGGCAGCCGGGAAGTGACATCAGCCCTCATACCCGTAACAGCACAAGAGACCAAGGTGGTCACATTCAAATCCTTCCTACACCTCCTAATACCTCTCTTATCTCCACGACTAACCCTCCTCACGTCTCTTTATCACCTCGCACCGCTAGGGCAAACGATTCGAGTACGTGGAACGCCATTCCTGGTCTCCTGAAACCACGCTCTAAACTACACGTAGGAGCTTTTAACGTACGAACACTTTGCCAAATAGGACAGCAGGCTTCCTTAGCTAAAACTTTAGAATCTCGCGCCATCGATGTGTGCTGCGTCTCCGAAACGCGCATACAGGATCCAAGTAGCGTCATTCATTTGACCTCACCATGCCAAAATAAAGAACCGACTCGATTTACGCTTCGTGTATCTGGAAGCCCTGATTCTGCTTCCCGTGGCCTCGCCGGCGTAGGTATAGCATTGAGTCCTAGGGCAGAACTAGCTCTCTTAGAGTGGATCCCAGTAGACAGTCGTTTGTGCGCTGTCCGACTGAACGGAACAGTAAGAATCCGGAAAGATAGGGACACTCGTCGTTGCCTCTTCGTCGTCTCTGCCTATTCTCCCACTGACTGCAGCTCAGATGATGTAAAAGATGAGTTTTACAGAAAGCTTTCGGACCTTCTCCGAAAAGCTAGCGCTCGGATGTAGTAATAGTGGCCGGTGACTTTAATGCTCAAGTAGGTAAACTAAGCGATAGGGAAAGACACCTAGGTGGATCTTATGGTGTCGTGGCTCAAAGAACAGATAATGGCGACCGTCTGTTGCAGCTATGCTCAGATAACCGCCTGTTCCTTGCAAATACTAACTTTAAGCATAAGGAAAAACATCTTTTAACATGGCGACCCCCTAATTCGTCCCAACGTTGGACCCAAATAGATCACATCGCTATCAGCCACCGATGGAGGGGCTCGATAGAAGACTGTCGCTCATTCTGGAGCACATGCCTAGATTCAGATCATGCTCTAGTGCGAGCGCGTATTTGCTTGCGTCTTACTGGACGTAGGAAAGACGCTGCAAGGAAACCTCTTAGGGGCTGTTTAATGATAGTCAAGCTAAGAGTATATTTCAGGAACAACTAGGAAAACAGTTAGGCAGCCATGTATGTGATGCCCACCCCGATGCAGCATGGAATGATATCCGAAAAGCTGTGGAAACAGCAGTGATATCTGCTAGTAAGGTAAACCAGAAGGTTAGGGAGCAACACTGGATCTCAGCAGCATCTATCGCACTGATAGATGCTCGGAAACTCATTCCACCTGGCTCTGAACATAATGAAGAGCGGAGTCAGCTTAAGCGCAAGCTGACAAGAAGTCTACGCAATGATCGCGAACAGTGGTGGGTAGCGAAAGCAAGAGAGATGGAAAAGGCAGCGGCAATAGGTAATAGCAGACAATTGTTCAGACTCGTTAAGGAAACCGGAATTAGGAACCCGACCGTTAGCGAAACAATCTCAGAGAAAGATGGACATATTATTCATTCTCAATCCAGGAGATTGGATCGATGGGCAGAACACTTTAGGGATCAGTTCAACTGGCCTTCAGCCACACTTCGGTTTCCCACGATCTCCAGTCAACCTGAATGGCAAGTTAATGTAGGTCCTCCGTCCCTTTACGAAGTTGAAAAAGCCATAGGAAATCTGAAACGAGGGAGAGCAGCAGGCCCTGACAGGTTTACTCCTGAGATTTTTAAGGATGGTGGTCCAGTATTAGCAATGAGATTAACTGAGGTCTTAGGTAGAATTTGGGAACTGGACGTAATCCCATCTGACTGGTCTCAATCACTGATTGTGCCAGTCTATAAGAAAGGACAAAAGTCCTCTTGTGACAATCACAGAGGAATCAGTTTGACTAATATAGTGTCTAAAATATTAGCTTCAATAATACTTCGACGCCTAATCAAAGCTCGTGAAGAGCAGATTAGAGAAAACCAGGCTGGTTTTCGACCTGGACGTGGTTGTATAGATCAGATATTCACACTACGTCAGGTTCTAGAACACAGACACACATTCAGACGCCCCACAATGGTAGTATTTCTCGACCTTAAGGCGGCATTCGACTCTGTTGATCGTGAGGTTCTATGGCAGTGTTTGTCACTGAAAGGAGTACCAAAGAAGTACATTAACCTTATAAAGGCTCTCTACTCGAACACAACTGGTAGAGTGAGAGCTTATGGCGAACTGTCATCAGAATTGATTACCTCAAGTGGTGTTCGTCAGGGCTGTCCACTCTCCCCATTCTTGTTCAACTTTGTGGTCGACGTACTTTTAGAGATAACACTCTCCTCATCTAAATTTCCAGGGGTTGAACTTCTACCGGGAGGTTCACTTGTTGACTTAGAATATGCTGATGACATAGTTTTATTTGGTGAAGACGCTGACAAAATGCAGAGTCTTCTGACCACTCTAAGCAACAATGCAAGCATGTTCGGGATGCGATTCTCTCCCTCGAAATGCAAAATGTTGCTTCAGGATTGGGTTACATCGACACCCGAACTAGTGATAGGGAGTGAAGTAGTTGAGTGTGTCGACCGCTTCACTTATCTTGGAAGTCTCATCAGCCCTTGTGGTTTAGTGTGTGACGAAATCTCAGCACGGATACAGAAGGCTCGACTAGCTTTTGCCAACTTGCGTCATTTATGGCGTAGGCGAGATATCCGTCTATCAACCAAAGGACGTGTTTACTGCGCAGCAGTTCGTTCCGTCCTACTTTATGGCAGTGAAACATGGCCGGTAAGAGTAGAGGATATTCGTAGGTTACTAGTATTTGATCATAGGTGTCTTCGAAACATTGCTCGTATATCATGGGACCATCGAGTAAGTAACACAGTTGTTAGGAAACGGGTACTAGGTAAGGATGGCAAATCAATTGATGAAGTAGTGAAACTTCATCAGTTGAGATGGCTGGGACACGTGTTACGTATGCCCAACGACCGACTGCCTCGACGTGCTATGTTCAGTGGTATAGGAGTAGGTTGGAAGAAAGCTAGGGGCGGCCAAACCAAAACATGGCACAAGTCCATGAAGTCACTGACAAGTGAACTGAGTCATGTTGGTAGGTGTAGACTACCTGGTTGGGGACCGCGAGATGATAGCAACCGATGGTTAGAGACCCTGAATGACATGGCTCAAAATCGTTTGCAATGGCGCAGGTGCATCCACTCTCTGTGTTCTCCCAAATTCTAATCTTCTGAATTCTTCATGTCCCTTTTTTCCTCTTTCCAAATTTATTTCACTGGATTATACTCTTTAAATAACATCTCCAAACCCTAATCTTCCCGATTACTGCTTATACTCTTATTACCTCTACCACTACGGGATTTGAATCGACCACTGCATCTCTGTGCTAATGTGGTGTAGCAACTCGAACTGATGTACGTACGTACGAAGTTCTACGTTGTTACTGACTGACTGACTGATAACATTAAATCTCGTACTTGCGTAGAGCATTTGTAAAGACAAACTGCTTATTTATGTGTTCTATGACATTTTAAAGATAATTTTGATCCGTTTATTCTGAGACTTCTCGGTTACGCTCAATGTACAGAATATATTTACTTATTGACCACAGTTCATTAAAAAATTGTTCGATTTGCTAAGACAGATCAATTATCAAACGCATTAGTAACAAATGACTCAATATCTAGTTTTGTTTACACTGAGTGGTTTTTAGAAAATGTTTTCTATATACGTAAGAAGATGTATAAAGAAATCAAGTTCCTAGAGAGAGGCGAAATGTCAAAAAGTCTAAGGTCACTATAAAGAACTAATTTAGGAACATTTCTTAGGAGCATCAACGTTTAAAACTGATTTTTTTATTAAGAGAAACAACGTCATGATCATACCTTGTGGCCGAATTTAGTAGTACGCACTGATTGTTTTCCATAACCATGTAATGGTCAGTTCTCAAGCAATGATCTATATGTTAACTTTATATCCATTTTGTTTATTTCGTTCTTCTGTAATTTGTTTCATCATAACATTTACAGTTTATTTTGTACTAGAGGAGCTGTCGATATAACTGTGCACACCAGTTTCAGTTTAGATAAAATGAGATAGTTTTAGTGAATACCAAACATATGTTTTTCAATAATCCAAATTTCATTAAGGATCACGAAATACATGGGAATATTTCAAGTTTTAAGGTATAACTTTTGTCAAATAAAGATAGACATAATATTTTTGCATTGTAATTACTCCTCATTATCAAAGCTAATTAGTTCCAAACATATAACATTTAAGATAATGAAGATGTCACAGGTCATGTAGGGATATTTTTCTCAAAACTTACTTTCTGTATTTCTTTAAGCTGAATTCCGACTTTACCGAATTCATTTTTACAAAGAGTAACAAGTCTAACTCCTGGTTTTATATCTACGCAATCAAATGGTGCTGGAAGCGGTAAACAAAGCGCTCCGCTTGGTATAAAAGGAGCAATTGACATTGAATTGACCCCACAGCCCATACCAGATTGAGGAAAAATGCCAGATATTGTAGATCCACAGGTAACAGGTCTACCACCGATGTTGTAAGAAGATATATTATTATCCATATTGCAATTTCCAGATAGAGTGGGGTTAATTTGTGACATTGGTCTTTGACAGTCAGACTGCGCATTTGAAGGTCCATTGCTTTGACTGTCAATAATATGCTGTACTTTTAACTCTTCGAGAGAAGGGTATAAAGACATCTAAAAAAATAGATAAAAATAGTAATTAATGAGCAGTTTTACTGCTACATAGTACACGGTAGTCAAGCCAATTATCGGAACTTTTGTATTAATTATATGATGCTGTATTGTATTTAAAATGTTACTTATCAAGCAACTAGGAGCATGAAGCGTTTCTAACGAATGAGAGGGCTTAATTCATTTCTGTCTCAGTATAGTAAGCAAGCTTTGATGCATTATATGTTGGTGAGACTATAATTTACAGACGACCTTTGAGCAACGCTAGACTGACCTTGAGGATATCTACTTAACTAGGGTCAAATGAGGACTGTAAAATTGTGAGGCATTGGAATTATAATTTACAGTTGATGATTGAGGTTAGAAAGCGGTGAAGGCAATCTTTCCAATATACCTAAGCTATATTGCAGAGGTATAAGGGGAAAGATATGTTTATTACCTGTGTTAATTACTTTAATATACGACGTATCACATGACAAAATAATTATTTTAACATACACTTCAGACACAGAATCCTGAAAATACTCTGGAAAACCGTTTTTGGACTGTTATAAAAATAACTACTTGCTAGTCAACGCACATCACTAAACAATGTCCAAACGAGTGACAAAATCACAAGTTCATATATTCGGGACATATAAACAAGAATAATTTGTGATACATACACTAAATGCATTTGTGATACGTTTGAGTGAACTCATTGATTCATCCAAGCTCTTTTCTTCATTCTGCGGCATAGTCCCTAGTTTTCGGTATCATTCAGTGTGGGTAGTTTGACTACCACAGTGCACTAATTAAAGTAAATTTGATAGTTGAGCGGTCGTTTTTACTTCCTGCAAGAAGAACTAATGCGTTTATTCAATGATTTTGAGGCCGCTAGAACCAACTGTTATCACGTTGACAGATGGAGCACTAGCTGGTGGTAATATGCATATTTAAAAAATAAGACTGTAAAGGAGCAAAAAACATAACGATCACGGCAAGCAAATAAGTAATTTACGTAAACAACATAAACGAATAAAGGTCCAATAACAACAGATAAGTGGAAGTGGAAAGGGTTGTGATGGTCAGACATGTGTTAAGGACGTTAATGACAGGAATAATGGTGGTAGGAATGATAAAATACCACCGTTTGTAAATATTCTAGGGTTATTGTCGGTCATAAGTCCGTAGCTGTTCTGGTATATGTTAAATCTATTGAATGATCATATTCCTTAAAGTAATCCAAGCGAATTTTACTATTTTTCTGGATGATTTACTGTTTTGGTATTTAACATGTAAAAATTTCACTTAGCTTAGCTTTTAAATTTAACACCAACCACTTCAAAAATGTTTTTAGCATAAGATATATTTAATAGCTTTATTATACCACACACTACAAGTGAAAAGTGTGCTGTTTACGAACGAAGAATATTAGATTCAAACATTATTTGACATTTCTTAGTTACAATTTCCATTGGCATATATTTGTAAATGTCACCAAGCTAACTATAGTAACTTCGTATGGAAAGTCTGTGTTATAACTCATCATATTCTAAACTGTGGTTCCGCAAGTCATTTCAACTTTAAACATTTTTTTGGCAGTTTATCATTTGTACATTGCTACATTGCTCGCCAACCAGCATGTTAACCTGGCCTATATATGAGTTACATAATATCTCTACACCCTTTAATTTTTACAATCATTTGAGTCCTCCTTAACACTTTCACTAAATCCGTCATAATCGTTATTGCTATATGTATTTGTGTTTATGGATTAGGCTATCGTAGTTGCTTAAAAAGACGTTAAACATAGTTCAGATATTAAAGTCACCGAATTAAGGTACTACCATGCTACACTGATACAGTGACTAAACTATCACATAAATGTTAGTCAAACAAGCATTCCAAATAAACTCCGGGGCTTATTATTAAAATTAACGCTTAGTGAACAAATATTTCTGGATCGCAATTGGTAATGTAACAAAGCAGCGTGGATCCGTTAGTGCTACAAACTTCTGATATTTCAGAATTACCTTGTAGTGACTCACGTTTATCACGAGAACACGACTGGTTTAATAAAAACAATTATTATTATAACCAACTGTACCAGTGTTTATTTTAATGTGCTTTTGTTTGACTGTGCTAATGACAGCTATTTTGTGCTTCCATTCTTTCGCTTACACTTTGATTGTAACTTCGCGCGAATTCGGTTACCTTCTGTAACCAAGGTTGTATCCTGGCACGATCTCGGTATCCTTTCGATGCCACGAGATCGCCAGCTAATAAACCTCGACTTGGTCCATTAATTGCCTTCTGGTATTCGGCTTCTCGGGGATTTTATGGAGTCATTTGGAACGAGCTTCTTACGCCTTCTGATTTGTTTGGCACGTGTTTCTTGGTAGCGGTGTTCACAGTTAATCTCAACTCGACGCCACGCTACATTGGTGACCCGTATTTTGGAACACGCCTCAACTTCTGATCAAATCTTCCAAAGAAGCCAATTCGGTGAGTCTATGATTTATCTATCCACGTCTGTCGTATATTTTCATATTTTTTAATATATAATATACTCGACATGACGGATAACGATAAGAATAGTATTAATATAATAGACTCACATGTACGTGTACCGAATCCTTGTTACTTTTTTTTCGCGTGACGATGAATTCCACGCTTTATTCGAGAAATTTTCCCCTATTAACTATTCTCCTCGCTGACCCGGCTGCTTGGTACGGCATGCATACGCATAAGCATATCCGTCTACCACCCAGCACCAAATGGTTAAGTAAACGGTTTCACTGCCAACTTAAAAGTACTCTACGAGCACACGAAAACGGCAACTGGCACGAAACCTTACCGCTCGTTCTTTTAGGGATCAGAACGAGCTTAAAGGCAGATATCCAATGTTCCGCCCTGAACTTGTATACGGCACGACATTGCGTCTGCCCGGAGAATTCTTCACACCACGGAGCAGACCTAATTTCGGTAAATCAGACTACGTCCATCGACTGTCTGCATTTATGCGAACGCTGTCTCCGGTGTCAACTCGAATACAACATCGACAGGTCGCTCTCCCTCGAGAGTTATCTACCTGTTCACATGTTTTCATACGAGTAGATTCGGTACGCAAAACTTGGCAACAACCTTACGAAGGCCCTTTTCACGTGATCGCTCGTCACGAAAAGACCTTCAAGGTTGATCGATATGGACGCGTCGAGATCGTCAGCATTGATCGTCTCAAACCAGCACACGTCGATGACAGTGCCCTATCTGACACCCTGAGATTCAATGCTAGACCTATCAAACCTAGCGGGATCCTTAAATCTTCTTCAGGTCCCACGCTAGATACATCTGAGACCTCATTCTCACGTCCCGGTCAACAGCACGCGTCATCTGCACCGTCTACGGACGAGACGACAGTCTCACGTCCAGATCAGCAGACCACGCCGCCTCTGACCTCGGATGAGATTGCAGGCTCACGAGATACGAACGAGACTACCGTCTCACGTTCCGGTCGCCGAGTATGGTTTCCCGTACGCTTCCGCGACTAGCCGCACAGTTAACAACCGATACGGTGTAGGACTATTCCTATGCTACACGCATGCTACACTCTTCTCTTTTTTGCTTTTCTTTTTGTTTCCTGAGCCCACGCCTTCGACCATCTCCGTTTGGTTCCGTCGACTTCAGTCAACTTTGGCGAAAGCTGGCCTGATCACCCACGCTCTTGTCAACGTACTCAGTCGATATATTGGTTTCGAATGCTTGGCATACGCTTGGTCTCGAACTTGGTCGTTATGGTCGCTTCTGGTCTTTTGGCTCAACGTGGTTTCGTCCTACGTCTGCAGCGTTTCTGGTGCGCACCCTACGAACGCCCTCTTCAGATTCTGGATACAAACCACTCTGGTGTAGCATGCCAACTCAAGCAATAAATACAACACATCGCTCCTGGTACCGTTCTCCGAAAACGACCTTCGTTGGCAACTCGACGATCAACGATCGCTTTCCTGTTCGCCAATTCTTCCGTCCTACAATCGCTCGTCAGCCGATCAGTCCCACGATTCAAACCGCTATTTATCGAAAGTGTAAACCCTTTCTAGCGGGGGGCTCCTGTAGTGACTCACGTTTATCACGAGAACACGACTGGTTTAATAAAAACAATTATTATTATAACCAACTGTACCAGTGTTTGTTTTAATGTGCTTTTGTTTGACTGTGCTAATGACAGCTATTTTGTGCTTCCATTCTTTCGCTTACACTTTGATTGTAACTTCGCGCGAATTCGGTTACCTTCTGTAACCAAGGTTGTATCCTGGCACGATCTCGGTATCCTTTCGATGCCACGAGATCGCCAGCTAATAAACCTCGACTTGGTCCATTAATTGCCTTCTGGTATTCGGCTTCTCGGGGATTTTATGGAGTCATTTGGAACGAGCTTCTTACGCCTTCTGATTTGTTTGGCACGTGTTTCTTGGTAGCGGTGTTCATAGTTAATCTCAACTCGACGCCACGCTACATTGGTGACCCGTATTTTGGAACACGCCTCAACTTCTGATCAAATCTTCCAAAGAAGCCAATTCGGTGAGTCTATGATTTATCTATCCACGTCTGTCGTATATTTTCATATTTTTTAATATATAATATACTCGACATGACGGATAACGATAAGAATAGTATTAATATAATAGACTCACATGTACGTGTACCGAATCCTTGTTACTTTTTATTCGCGTGACGATGAATTCCACGCTTTATTCGAGAAATTTTCCCCTATTAACTATTCTCCTCGCTGACCCGGCTGCTTGGTACGGAATGCATACGCATAAGCATATCCGTCTACCACCCAGCACCAAATGGTTAAGTAAACGGTTTCACTGCCAACTTAAAAGTGCTCTACGAGCACACGAAAACGGCAACTGGCACGAAACCTTACCGCTCGTTCTTTTAGGGATCAGAACGAGCTTAAAGGCAGATATCCAATGTTCCGCCCTGAACTTGTATACGGCACGACATTGCGTCTGCCCGGAGAATTCTTCACACCACGGAGCAGACCTAATTTCGGTAAATCAGACTACGTCCATCGACTGTCTGCATTTATGCGAACGCTGTCTCCGGTGTCAACTCGAATACAACATCGACAGGTCGCTCTCCCTCGAGAGTTATCTACCTGTTCACATGTTTTCATACGAGTAGATTCGGTACGCAAACCTTGGCAACAACCTTACGAAGGCCCTTTTCACGTGATCGCTCGTCACGAAAAGACCTTCAAGGTTGATCGATATGGACGCGTCGAGATCGTCAGCATTGATCGTCTCAAACCAGCACACGTCGATGACAGTGCCCTATCTGACAACCTGAGATTCAATGCTAGACCTATCAAACCTAGCGGGATCCTTAAATCTTCTTCAGGTCCCACGCTAGATACATCTGAGACCTCATTCTCACGTCCCGGTCAACAGCACGCGTCATCTGCACCGTCTACGGACGAGACGACAGTCTCACGTCCAGATCAGCAGACCACGCCGCCTCTGACCTCGGATGAGATTGCAGGCTCACGAGATACGAACGAGACTACCGTCTCACGTTCCGGTCGCCGAGTACGGTTACCCGTACGCTTCCGCGACTAGCCGCACAGTTAACAACCGATACGGTGTAGGATTATTCCTATACTACACGCATGCTACACTC